TAATAATTATAATATTATTAATAAGGACATCCAAAGAGACATTGAGAGATGGTCGACTCTACCTATGGAATTCAGCTCGCGAATAGAGGTCGTGAAAATGAATGTTGTCCCGAGATTGTTGTATCTTTTCCAAGCTTTACCAGTAACGATCCCTAAGACTCAGTTCAGGGCTTGGGACAGGATGATTTCAAGATTTATCTGGGAGGGGAAAAAACCTCGAATAAGATACACAACGTTACAGCTAGCAAAAGACAAAGGTGGACTAGCCCTACCAAATCTACTGGAATATTTTTACGCAGCACAAATTAGACCATGTATATGTCTGTGTAACCCTAGCTACATATCGAAATGGAAAGATATAGAGCTTGCAAACCAGAGTTTACCTATACAGTCCCTTTTAGGTGATAAAGAAAAATTGTTGGCATCAAAAAAGAATCTAGATCAAATATCAGTCACTACACTTGAGGTATGGTTTAAATTAGTTGAGCAGTATAACCTAAAAAGTCAGATAAAATTGTTAAGATGGGTGGCATTTGATCAAAATTTTAAACCAGGGCTCCTTGATGTAGGATTCAGGAGATGGGTAACTAAAGGTTTGACTGCTTTGTGCACCTTTGTTACACGTGGAAAATTTAAAAGTTTTGCTGAATTAAAAGAAAATTATGGTTTGGAAAAAAATGATTTTTATCGGTATTTACAAATACGGGACTATTTTGAAAGGGAGTTTCAAAAAATGGGTAGTACGGAGCCGAATACACTGGTAGAGTTGATAGTTGATTCCTATACAAAGAATAATCCCAGAATAATCTCTTCTCTCTATCGGGCCATGATGGAGAATAGAAAAAACACATCTAGCTATATTAAGCAGAAATGGGAAAGAGAATTAGAGGAAGAAATTCCAAATGAAGAATGGTATTTTGCTTGCAAGACACAACATACGATTACCTATTCACAGAGATGGAAAGAGGTTGCATGGAAAAATTTAGTGCGTTATTTCATTACCCCCAAAATTAAAAGTAAACAATTATCTACACCACAATTATGCTGGAGGATATGTGGGCAAACTGATGTTGATCATCTTCATGTATTCTGGAGTTGCCCCAAAATATTACCTTTGTGGAACATGGTTTTGATGGAGATCCAAAAGATTTTAGGTTATAAAATACCAAGAAATTTCAATACATTGTATCTGGGAAATAACACACACTCAGTGTTGAGAGGAGATATATATCTTGTTAATATATTAAGTGTAGCATGTAAGAAGAGTATTACAAGGCATTGGTATAAACCGGACACCCCCTTACTTGGAGAATGGATAGAAATTGTTAAAGAAATATTTAATATGGAAGAAATGACTTTTATTTTGAGACTTAAAAGGGACTTATTTCTAAAATATTGGAAGAAATGGATTGAGTACTGCAATGTAAACAATCAATGATTATATGTAAAACTATACTTGCTCCAGAACTGAATGTATACCCCCTGTTCTATTGTTTGCTTCTTTTTTCTTTTCTTTCCCTTCATCCCCTGTCTTTCTAAATGTTGAAAGCTTGAAAAATGATCAATAAAAACACAGTAAAAAAAAAAAAAAAAAAGTAATGTGTTACAATATTGTGTTACTTCCTTTTTTGTAAATTAATGCATTACATGGCCTTTGCGTTACTTTTTCTCACCTATGGGCTTGCTTGTTTGTTTTTTATCATCAAGAACAACAACAACAACAAAAGTTCTATTTTTGGCAAATGTAAACGCCCTATCACACCAAAAGTTACATTTATAAGCCCAAGGCTGAAGGAAATGCCTGTACAGTATACCTTTTAAGGTTTATAACCTTTTCTTCTAAGAGTGTACAAGGCGCACCTCAAACAAACCTTTCAGCTGCTGGCATTCTGTCACTGCAGAAGAATAAGTTCAAAACTCTCACTGCAAACTTTAAATACATATAAATACACATTAACACATTTAATTATTGCAGGTTTGCGTAATATTATGAGTTTGGATTTGACTGTTTTTATTCATTTTGATGAATATTGAGTCTGTTTTTGTACAAGTGAGATCAGTAAATGCAAATGTTTACACAGCGCACCCAAGGCCTCTGCTGCACCTCACTCCCAATTTCTCTCAACATGGGGAGAGGTGTCAGTCTATGCATGGGAAAATAATAACTCGCATTACTTATAGAGTGAAAAAGTAACTTGGATATTTTGTTGTAAATTTCAAATTTCAATGTGTTACTTCTAGTTACTTGAAAAATGTTTTCTGATTACGAAACTGATGTTACTTGTAATGCGTTACCCCCAGCACATATAGGCCTACTATGAATGATTTTAAGGGATATTTTACCCAAAAATGATAATTCTGTCAGTAATTACTCACCCTCATGTTGTTCCAACCCCGTAAGCAGTTTTGTGTTGTACGTCACACGCATCACACACACGACCAGCATCGGCCAATAGTGAGCCTACATACACAGAAGCGCTGCGCAGTTACACTACGTGAACTCACTCGAGGCCCACAGAGAAGGAAATTAATAGTTGAATAAAGTCGTTATTTTTGTTTGTTTTTTTTGCACACAAAAAGTATTCTCATCGCTTGATAAACTTAAGATTGAGCCACTGTAGTCACTTGGACTATTTTAACGATGTCTTTAATAACTTTTCTGGGCCGGCAAGTTCCAATCCCTTAGAAGCCTATGGAGGAGTGATCCAGCTCTCAGATTTAATCAAAAACATCTTAATTTGTGTTCCGAAGATGAACGAAAGTCTTACGGGGTTGGAACAACATGAGGGTGAATAATTACTGATTTTATTTTTGGGTGAACTATCCCTTTAATTCATGTAACTATGAACATTATTTTCAATTATTGCTTGCTTATAGTAATAATAATTGATGTTTCTGGCTTCTGACATTTCACAAAGGAGCATTTCTTTATTTTAAAGTCAGCCTCTCTCCAGGTATTGGGAACAAACTGTCTAACTGCCAGATTCGGTAGGCTTAGTTCTAGAGAACGGATCATGTGATGGGAAGAGTTGTCTAGAAGTTGGGTACGGGATGATCCCAGTTATTTCACTGGTTCATCCAGAACTTATAAAATGACATTTGATGGGAAAAGACAACCACATTCATTTTTTTGCTTTATTTTATTTTGAGTATGTGATATGTATAATACTTGCTGGGTTTTCTTTTTTTTCTTTTTTTTTAAATGAATACAGCACGCCATCTAGTGGCAACACTTGATTAGTTATTGGAGCACAGCAAATATTAATGCAAATGTTTGTGTTGTTGATGGTCTGTTGATGGTTTGTCTTAAGGCTATTACTTTTACAGAGGTTTACTTTGACTTGTTTTTACTTATTTTGACTTTGTGAAAGGAATTGAAAGAATAAAAAATAAAATTAATTCAGCAAGGATGTGTGGAAATGATTAAAAGTGACAGTAAAGACATTTATAATCTTACAAAAAGATTTCTGTTTAAAATAAAAGCTGTTCTTTTAAACATTCTATTCATCAAAGGATCGTGGAAAAAAATGCATCACAGTTTATACATTTTGATCAAATAAATTCAGCCTTAGAAGGCATTACAAAAAGTCAGTTTGCACTTTTGAAGAGCACAAAAACAAACCAATACTCTCCGCTGTAATCGTTTTAATTTGTCCAGATTTGCCGTGTGTCTAATTTATTTGACACACAGGCTATTTCTTCGGTTATTTCTTTGTCCTCCTGTTTCCTCATACCTTAAGGTGTGTTCAAGAACTTCCCGGTTCAATCCATAAAACAATCTAATGGTGCTTTATCAATACGTAGACCTAATACGTATCTTACTTCGTTATTCAGTTTTACAAATAAAAATACTGCTAGCTGCAAGCAGAAACTGTTAGCTGTAGAGTCATCTCTGATCTGAACTTGTGACATTTGATATCAGATGTATGTCAAACTCATGCAATAGTAATTATTTTCAAACAAGGACTGCACATGATGCAGGTGTATGTCTGCAAGAAATATTGAGAACTGCAGTTTTGTGAAATGAATGATTAATCATAGACCTTCCACTGCCAGTCTATTTGTATGTGGGCTATAAAGACTTTTTCTAATAAAATGTTTCAGGAAATGTGTCTGTATCAGGAAGTTACAGGAAATGTTAAATAGTAACTCAAGGGATAATGCCCACTGTTGTGGTGGACAATCTGACTCATTTCACGCGCATGTGTTTCTTGGAAGTGAAGCCAGACAATACAAAAACACAGATGACACTTGATAGACAAATCACTGAAACTCTGCTGATGACTGTGTGAATTCGTGATACTGCATTAATTGAACAACTTGAGGAGGAAGTTAGCACTTCATGGTGAGTGAATATTAATGCAAAATGCCTTATGTTGAAAAAATTCTAAATGTATAGGTTAATGGTTTAGAGTAGACTGTACAAAAAAGAACCAGGATATGACATTGTTTTTTTTATGGCACAGTACCATAATATCATAGTTAAACATGACACAATGGCAATGCTGCTGTTTGTTTATTTGGGCATTTAACGTATTTCTGTAAAATGGTAATTTGGTCATATCGCCATAGTTTTTGGACGGCTCATCGGCTCGTCTTTCTGTTCGGAGCAAATTTGATTAGTGATTTTGTTCACGACAGAATCTGTATTTTAGAACGAATATTGACAAAATTGTTCTGATTCACTTGTACTGATGTTTTTCATTTATTAGTGTTAAACTTTTTTTAAGTTACTGGTTTCGTGACAAGTAGGCTATTGCAAATTTTGAATAATTTAACTACACATCTCGTTCATGAAGAAACATGTTGTTCAGTTCATCACGTGAATCGGTTGTGTAAATGATTCAGTGAATCATTTTTAACAAGCAAAAGGCCATTCGACTTCGTCGAATAAGTGAATGAATCTGAAAAAATCTTTTTGGTGAATGGATTCAAAAGATTAGATCTATACATTTAATATACAAGAAGATAATAGAATAACTGTCACCTCTGTGTATTTGTTTTTGAAAAGCAACAGAAAGCAATGGCAGGCCTGGAACTGAATTCAACTGACTGTCTTCCCATTGATGACTACATAAAGAGTTATTATCTGCCAGTGATGTATAGCATAATTTCTGTATTTGGATTTGTGGGAAACTTCCTGGCAGTCATCACTTACCTGGCAAAGCTCCGACCCTGGAAGAGCAGCAGCATTATAATGGTGAACCTGGCAGTAGCTGATCTGCTGTATGCTTTGAGTTTACCTATGCTGGTCCAATTTTACATTACCGGAAACTGGATCTTAGGGGAGTTCATGTGTCGTTTCATTCGCTTCTGCTTCTACTATAACCTCTATGGCAGCATCCTCTTCCTCACCTGCCTCAGCATCTTCCGTTACGTCGCAGTTGTGCATCCATTGAAGGCTGCAGAGATGCGGAGGAAAAGATGGGGCATCTTGGCTTGTCTGGCTGTCTGGGCCGTTTCGCTGGTGGAGATTGGCCCAATGTTGGGGATGATTACTTTACGGCAAAAAAACAACATGACACAATGCGTTGACTTCGCCAGTAATAATCCATTGGACGTATGGTGGTACGGTTGGATACTTACAATGTTTGGATATGTGTTGCCATTGCTGGTGGTGTGCTGGAGCTACACTCACATTGCAGGTGCTCTGGGAAGCAGCATATCCAGAAACAGGCCGAGTCGTTCCCGAGTTCGCATGCTTACCATTCTGATTCTGGTGGTGTTTGTGGTGTGCTTCTTGCCATATCATATCATGCGTGTACTGAGGGTGGATAGCCTGCGCAGAACTGGTGTGTCATGCATGCAGAGAAGAGGCATCCATGCAGCCTACATCTTGTCACGACCACTGGCGGGGCTCAACACCTTCTTCAACCTAGCGCTTTATACACTGGCAGGAGACAAGTTTCAACAGGCTCTCTGGAGTTTTGTGCACAGGGAACGTACGAGCAGCACCATATCTGTGATCCACACACCAAACAACATGTCAAAGACAGACCTCTTGAGGATCTGATATACTGTGTCCTACATATTGTGTGTGTGTGTGTGTGTGTACTGTATTTTACACACACTATGTTTCAAAAGTTTGGGGTCAGTAATTTGCCATTTTGTCTTCACTGTCACATGTTCCTTCAGAAATCATTCTAATATGCTGATTTGGTGCTTAAGAAACATTCCTTATTATTATCAATGTTCAAAACATTTGTACTGCCTAATATTTTTGTTAAAAAAGCATAATGCATTTTTTTCAAGATTATTTGAAAAAATACACAGTTCAAAATAGCAGCGTTTATTTGAAATATATATATATTTTGTAACCTAAATGCTTTTTTCTGTCACTTTTGATCAATTTAATCCATCTTTCCTAAAAAAACATATATTTTTATCTTACGGACCCCAAAGTTTTGAACAGTAAGTGTATATTTATTAGCATCTTAGTACATGGACTTGAACAAAATGTTAAATAGTGGGTAATAGCGTTTTAACTGTATTGCAGCTGCTTTGTGTATCTTGTGCGGTAAATATTAAGAATTTTTTTAATTTTTTAATTTAAACATTTCTTATACATATACACTGTATATATTACTGTCAAACAATAAGGTAACATGTATGCAAAAACCTATTTATTAAAATTTAAACTTTTGGATTTTTTTATTGTTGGTATGAGGTGCAAACTCAACAATAAGGACACAAAATGCGTGAACTATAATACGATAGATACAAATAATATAGAAATTATTCTGGGTCAGATGCTTAATTAAAAAAGTTTCTCCACTCGTCCATGATCATTTGTCCACTGACAAACGCCCACACAAAACAAAACATCCTTTGAATACCTGAATGACTAATAATCTTCACAGACAAGGAAACACAAAAGTATTTATGGGCAGAAGTGGAGACTCCCAGAAGTATATCAGTTCAGTAGGCATGATATATGCAAGGAACTAGTGTAAACAGCCTAACATTTCTTTCAGTTCAATCAAAACATTGCTCTCTGTTCTTGTGTTGCTCCATTGTGATGTTTGTAAAGGATTGTCAGAACCAACTCTTAAATGAGCTCATTTTTTTCATTTTTTCCAATGCCAAATACAGAAGACACCATCAGAACACAGACAGAAGACATCATTACCGTAAAAGAACAACTAGTGTGCAGATGTCTAGTACCACTTTTTTCATAAACTACTGTTTTATAAACATTGTGAATTCGGACATTCTACTTTTTTTCTTACTATTTAGTATAGGAAAGTAAACATTCGAAAGCAGCCTATCACTTAAAGATCAATAACATTTTCTCCAGTTATCACAGTTAATCAAACAAACAAAACAAACCTCTGCACCAAAACTACACACTTACACAAATGCCAGGTGTTTTTTTTTTTTTTTTTTTTTTTTTTTTTTGTCCCCAGACACTAATAGCCTACAAAAAAAACCTGTGTTCTGAAAATATATTTCTGACAGTTAGCCTACCTAACAATTAGATGACACCATTTCTGTCAAACACTTTGAAGGCACACACAGGATATGTCACTGCAGACCATGAGAAGAAAAATGGTTTTCAGGTGACCAGTGGATGAATCAGGCATTGTCTAATAATATGACATATTTTCATTTTGCCAAATTACATGAAATGCATCATTTCCTAGTGCAGGTGAAAAATCATGACCTTTCTCTATAGGTCACTCCAACTCTTTCTTTTAAAGGTGCGCTAATGTTTCTCGTTTGCCAATTTCATTTTAGAAATAGGCCTACATATAATCAGATTTGTATTGGTCACCCATTGAAGAAAATGTGAAAAGTAGAATTGTTTGCGTATTTTAAGTTTATGCAGTGTTAAATTAGATAAACCCACATTTTATGAGTAATCAATGCAGAAATGCATTTTTATGCAGGGTTCAAGCACAGTATTCTCGACACTGTGTAAACAATGGGTAACATTATAACATTGGTGGAGCTTCTCTGCCCTCTAGTGGTTGAATCACAAAGACAGAGAATATGGCACCTTTGAGATTTTACCCACAGTTGCCCCAACATGTATTTAACCTGTTAAATGCCACACGATCTGTAAAACACATTTACATTACAGTAGATACAAAATAGATACAAACCAAATGGCACCTGCAAACAATTGATGCCAGACCTTTGCAGAGCTAAAACTTTACTGACAATTCATGTGAAAATGAACAAGCTTATTGCGCTTCAGCCCATGGGTCAATATAATTATGCATTTAAGAGAAATGTGATATATTTATTTGAGCATCGCTGTTAAATAAGGGGTCATAAGGGGTTATTTTTAATATCATATTGCACTTAAGTGAACAAAGCAATTAAAATACATTGCAACACTGATATTTCAGAAAACACACACACACACACACATACACACAAAAACTTGCATTGGTATACAAACCTCTTTTGGCCACACAATAAAGGCTAAGGTAATAAAACAAAAAACACAAATAGCAGCACAGATTCAAGTAAAAAAAAAAAAAAATACATGGAACAGCATATACAAGGAAAACAAAACATTCCACTTTAGTCTTTTTCTCTCTTTTTTTTTTGGTCTAAAATCATTATATTTCTGGTACTGCATTCCAAAACTTTAATCTGTAAATGTAGCATTCCTATGTTCTCCATAACCACAATGAGCAATATACAGACAGTTTATTTGCTTTTATGTATAGACAAATCAAAAAATGTGAATGTGTTTACATCTTTTATTCATTTGCACACAGCATCTGTGGATATAGTTTTTAAAAGTTCTACAAAGTACAGACCAGAAAAGGTTGGGTTTTTTTTTTTTTTTTTTTTTTACCGCCAGTGGTTCAAGGATTTAAAGAGAGTTTCATTCCATGTGACTTGGAAGTTCTGGCTTCAGAAATATTCTCCCAGACAGTAAACGTTTTAATGAGGACTACAGAAATGTGTGAAACAGCACTGGGGACGAAACAAATACTGACCCATTGATTTAATCTTCCTGAAACTCTCTTGCAGCATAATGCAGTTCCATACTGGATTTATCTTGTGTACAAACATTCCTAAAGTCTTTATATTGCTCCATTCCAAGTCAAACATGAGCTGAAGTATTATAACCATCATAATTAGACAAGCAATTGAAGTACAATTGGGTGCAATTTTGTGATGTGATTTTTAATTCACCATTAGAGGGCGTACAAATGTGATGCGTTTTCACATTTCATCTGTTCATTCATTATTTGCATGGCCTCTCATGTTATTAGCATTGTGTTTTTAAGTTAATTTTCCCTTTTAACACACAATCTCAATCTCAAACAGAGTTTTAAAACAATTCATTAATCTGAAAATCATTAAGCTGAAGTCCACTTTTTACAGTTATTGGGAACAGGATGGGTTAATTTTGTTTTGTTTTGTTCATACTTATATTTGCAATTGTAAAACATGGAGAATACCATTCTCACTCTTTTTTGTATAAAAAACAGTTGTGCAACTCATTCTCCAATGAATCATGTGACAAAAAAAGAAAGCAATGAAGGATATTTTTTTTTTTAATATCTTACATGGTTTACAGTAGCAACTGCAACATTTCTCTGCTCCTATTGTATGTCACAGATGAGGCTCTTGTTGTGGTTGTGTCTGCTAACCCTGAATTGCACAACATATCATTGAGAAACTACCAGAGACTACAGATTCTCAGTACAGACTGTCTCCGTGCTGTAAGTTTGATTCTTAAAAAGTAAAAGAAAAAGAGAGAGCTCAGAGAGAGAGCTCAGAGAGTGTCGTCTGAGAATCTCTACTGGCAACAGGCCTGGGCATTAAAAACTTGTCAGCATTTTTTTCCATTCACTATCTCTAGCTGTTTTTGAATGCAAGAACACAGCTTGAATGTACACCCCTCACATTGTAGTGTGTTGTACCTTTATAATACTCTGTGTTTGTTCCTTCACAACGATGTTGCTTGGCGAATAAGCACAGATCCATCTTTTTCAGCTTTTGGATTGCAGTCTATGTACATTGCAGTCTCGATTTCATTGCAAAAGAATCAGAAATTCAGAAATCTTGAGAAACCACACTGTAAAAAAAATTCTCAGTCAGTATTTTTGTCATGTTTTACAAAAAAAATATTTAGACTCTCGAAACAAGATAAAAATGCTAAATGTGTTTGCTTACTGTAATGAATAAATGTAATGTGAAAATGTAAGTTGCTAACAAGCTGCTGCGTTTCATTGGCTCTGGACTTGTACTCTGTACAAGGACAATAAGTTGAATCTCATTAACAATTTTTTTTCAGCTTAACTAAATGGAATAATATATTAAGTTTTTGAGAAAATATACCTACACTACCATTGAAATAAGTTTGGGGAAAGTAAGATTTTGAATAAAGTTTTTGAAAGAAACTTTTATTCAACAAGTACATAAATCATTGATCAAAAGTGACAGTAAACATTCATAATGTTACAAAAGATTGCTATTTCAAATGGCTTTCTAGTTTCTATTCATCACAGAATCTATTGTGTTTTTTTTTTTTTTTTTTTAGAAATTAAACATTTAAATAATGAATCAATACAACATTAATCCTTCTTTTCCTTCTTTTTGTCTTACCCTGACTCACTATGGTAAGCCTGTTATAAGTGTTTATATTTTAGACGGGGCGGAATGGTTTCCTAGGAAATTGTGTACGTACGTCACTCATCTGCGCATCTCATCCACTGATCTTTAAAGAGAACATATAGATCAGTGATCTCGTCACATCCGTAAATAGAGAAAAGTTTCACCAGCTATGGTGTGAGAGTGGCATAGGTAAGTTGTCGCAACGAACGAGAAAGGGTGACATGGACAAAGCTAAATCTCCAACTTCCAGGGAATCACCCTTTTTTTAAAAAAAAAACGCTGAACAGAGGAGAGTCGACAGCTGGCAAAAAGAGAACGTTCGTCATAAAACGAGAATCAAGACTGGCTTGGCTTTTGGAGATGGCGAGACCTGGGGATTTGAAATGTTGTAAAAAAAAATTGCTCAACAGGCGAGTAATAAGAGCCAGAGCCGAAGCACAACCAAAACAATGTTCTTTTGCAAAATGCATGCAGTTAAAGGGATAGTTAACCCAAAAATGAAAATTAGCCCATAATTTACTCACCCTGAAGTCATCCTAGGTGTATATGACATTCTTCTTTCAGACAAATACAATCGGAGTTATATTAAAAAATGTCCTGCCTCTTCCAAGCTTTATAATGGCAGTGAATGGCTGTTTCTGTTTTGAAGTCCATCAAAGTGCATCTATCCATCATAAAAGTGCATCTATCCATCATAAAAGTGCATCTATCCATCATAAAAGTGCTCCACGCGGCTCCGGGGGGTTAATAAAGGCCTTCTGAAATGAAGTGATGCTTTTGTGTAAGGAAAATACCCATATTTAAAACTTTATAAACTATAATCACTAGCTTCCGACAGATAATGACGAACACGGAAGCTCAGAGGAAAGAGCAAAACAAAACACCGGTCGCGAATTAGAGATTTTGAAGAGAATTCTCTGTCAGAGGATTTCTATATAATAGAAGAGGAGCTTCAGTTTGTTGCACAGCCCTATTTGTTTAAACCGCGAGAGGCGTCTAAGCTTACGATACTCCTACATCCTACGTCATTTATGCGTCACGGGTTACTCTTGTGGCGCAAGTCGACTTGCGTAGTATGCGTACAGTCTTCTGGCGGAAGCTAGTTATTTTAGATTATAAAGTTATAAATATGGGTATTTTACTAACAAAAATCCATGGCTTCTCTTGAGGCCTTTATTAACCGGAGCCGTGTGGAGCACTTTTATGATGGACAGATGCACTTTTATGGACTTCAAAACAGAAACGGCAATTCACTGCCATTAAGACTTGGAAGAGCCAGGACATTTTTTAATATAACTGTCATATACACCCAGAATGACTTCAGGGTGAGTAAATCATGGGCTAATTTTCATTTTTGGGTGAACTATCCCTTTAATATATATATATATATATATATATATATATATATATTTATAGAAAAGATATGAGACATATAAATGAAACATTAAAAATCTTACCAACCCCAAACTTTTGAATGGCAGATATGCATCTTCAAATTAAAGTTCTCCACCAATTTTTGCTTTGTCGATTTAAGCATAAATTATCACTCAATTTTGCTTGATTCTATGCTAAACACTAGAAAAGTGATTCATTCTAAATTTATTCTTTAAAAATAATTATTTAGATAATATTTAGTACATAACACAAGACAAAAATACTGCTCAAGGCAATGATTTTTTGCAGTGCAACAGGCTTCACGACAAAAGAAACTCTAGCATTAGAATGCTAAAGTTCAAAATGTGACCTACTCTTCCTCAAGTGGGCCGTTATGTATTCTGTGTCCTAGTGCATGTTTCCAAGAGATATCACCAACGGACCACTTGGCTGGCATAGTCCTCAGTTGTGGTGACCTGAGGTTGGTTTTCCACACTGGGCTGTTTGCTCTGGTTGACTCGGCGCTCCCTAAGCCAGTGTCTCTCTTCCCGCCTCTTCAATCTCTCCTCCTGCCGCTCACGCTGGCGGATGAACTGGTATCTCTGCAGGAAGAGGTCCTTTGCAAACTCGTACAACTGCATATCCAAAAAATTCAGTTGCTCTATGCGGCTGCGCATGTCGTCGCGCAGCTCCACGTTGGCGGCGCGCGTGCTGTTGATCTGTGTAAAGGCTGAAATGAACCGCAGACGGAAAGTGCGCTCGAACAGGTACTGCGTCTTGCGCTGGAATTCCGTCAGGCCATAGAAGGCCATGTTCTTGAGGTTACTCTTAGCGCTGGCCAAGAGAATGGGGTTCCGTTCGCTCTCGTTCATGGTGGAGAGGTTGTAGCAGCCCACCAGGCTGAGGTCGGCCAGCATGCGCACCTGCCGGTTGTTGGCCAGGTTTGAAGGGCAGTCCATGAACTCATTTAAAGTGACCCCCGACCAGTCGTCTCCGTTATAGCAGGTGGGCAGCTCGTCCTGTGTGGGAGAGCGGCCGTCACACATGTGAAGGGAAGTCTTCCAGGTGGCACCGCGCTGCACGTGCTTCCATTCGCTCAGGTAACGTGACACAGGGTCTCGCAGCATGGTGATATAGTAGAAGTTCCTGGAATGATAATCACAAAGTTACTTCAATAAAGATATCTTTTTATTTTCTCTTTAACAATTTAATGTTGTAATTCATGTTGTAGAAAAAGGCATTAAAGTCTCTGAGTAATGTTAAAGGTGCAGTCTGTAAGAAAAATATCGGAGATCATTGTTTCTCCCGCCACCTGCTCCTCAGACTGGACAGCGCTCACACGGATTGCCAGTTTGAGCACACGCAACAGGAACGAGCGCAAATGACAATGACAATTGGCCATAGACAGTAAAAGAAATGGACACAGCGACCCCATTGATTTCAACAGAGAAAATTGAAGCCCGTTAAAAGCTGATAGCCAGGCGTACTGCGCAGGCTCAAACTGAGCCTGTCACGTGAGCAACCTGTATGTCTTCTAGTAGCTGTGCCGAGTGAAATCTGAATAATTCCCTTCCGAATCTCACAGAGACGGAGAGAGTGAGTATTAGCTGTCCATGAGCTAGCAGCAGGATCAACTTTATGACTCTCTATGGGCTTCTCCCTCAACTTTATCGGACTTTATGCCTCCACGTCCCCCCGATTGCCTGCGAGCTTCTCCTCCTGTCTATACCGTAATTTCTCTACTGTGCGACGGAGAGTCGATTTGTTATGACGCAATCGTTAGGCTATTTTTACAAAAACTGCTTCTACGGGGCCATAACGTAAGATACAAGGTAATGGAGCCTTTTATACATTGTCGTGTTTCTTTAGAAATAAATAATGGACAAATAGAGTCTTTGGACGCCTCAGATGTAAAGTTATTCGCTGTCAAAGTGACACCAAAATGAATGGGAGTCAATGGAATGCTAACAGCAGTTGAAGTTCTGCTACAATGACGGCTCCCACGAGGCTTCAACTTCCGGCTGATGGATTACCCCCTTGCAATTGGCTCTATGCACGATCGCTTCCGCGTTTTGTCTCAGCCCGTCCAGTTACATCCGGTGCTGCGTCGGAAGCCGTTTTTGCATTAGGAGATGATGGCAAATTACACTCGCTGTTTACAAGAACTTCCCGCGGTTAACGTGAATGATGTTAACAATATTGTGAGGCAGTTAGCTGTCACATATAAGAGTAAGAAAGAGAAGGGCTTTAAATTATATATTTCGAGCTACATCCGACAACTTTGAGGGTGAGTATTCTCTCATATCATGCGAAATCCGACTAGCGAATCAGTGAAAAAAGAGTGAAAAAAGTTACATACAGCACCTTTAACTTAATTACAGGTTAGGCCTGCAGGATTTGTGGACAAAATCTTCAAATCTTCTGATACAAATTCTGATTGTAATAAAAAAAAAATTTAAATACAGATTTGCTGTGCTTTTTTGTTGACCTTGTGATAAACGCTTCTCATAACAAGTATGGGATGGTTGGTGCATGTCGCATTCCCCAAATGCACGTTTTGCAAATTTGTCATTTATGTCATAGGACAAAACATGAACGTCTCTTGGAGTAACATTAACCACAGGTTTAATTTTACTTATAAACTGAAAAGCGACTTAATTGACTAAATCGCTAAATGTAACGTAAAAACATACTTTATTAATACATTGCTAAACTACAATTTGTCAGGCGTACACTTGGATCCTTGTGGTATTTCAAGTCCTTTTAGCAACTTGCTAGTAATTTAATTAGTAGTTTATGTTGTAGAACAAAAGTTTCTTCAAGTACCATAAACAACAGACTTTGTGTTACTCATTACTGAAAACTAAAATAGTAAAATGAGTATTAAAAAAACCTACTCTAAAAACCCACAGGAAATTCCAGTGGGTATCAATAGAGAATTAGCCTTTCTGGTAAGCAAATTAGCATAATGAATAAACAGCTCTATTCTGCAGAGCTTATGTGTTATTCTTTTTAATGAAAATCTGATAACTGTGATGAACCTTATCAACCTGTCATCTAACCTCAACATTTCAGTCATACAATGTAGGGTAATCCAATAGCACAGAGCGGCTGCAAAATGGAACATATTCTTTTTACTCGCATCACTGCGTCTTTTACAGAGAAAGACCATCTTCTCAATCAAGCCAGAGGACAGCCACAGAAGAGTGAAAAAAATTAAACATGTCTCAATTAATTCGTCTTCAGCAGTGCAGGACATGGAGGACATTTGTAGGTTAAATAGTGGTATACTGAAATAAATTAAAATTTAAGAAAGAAAAACAGTGTGAATGCACTACTCACACTATTTATACAACAAAAAGGCACAAGTATGCAAATTAGGACACACCTAATAGCTTATCCTACTAGTTTAGCATAGCACTAAATTTTCCATTCCCAACCCATTTACAGAGACCACAATAGGCCAGATAGGCAACAACTTAACAAGTCATACCCACAACTTATTAATTTGTACCCTTCATTTTAGGAAAATTGTGGCAACGTTGAACTTATTTGTTTCCTTATTTTAGTCACAATTTAAATAAAATGAGGGAGCAAATTAGTACAACGTGGCCACAATTTAACAAAAACAAGGGAACAAATTAATAAAATCTAGCCATGAATGCAAAAGTTGTGTGAACTTATTCTTAATTTGTTTTTCCCTTGCATGTCATGTGTGGGGGTCCGTACATTGTACTGTAATAGTGTTTTTCTTAGTGAAACAATATGCATTGTGGAAAATGACTGAATGGTGAAAAGTGTGTTACAGTATATGCCAGAAGGGACCCAGTGCAAATCAAAGTTTGCTAAAATGATGCCTAAATAGTGTGGCGACTGAGACAGATCAGATATATTTATAAGTCTTGTTTGTATCACACACTCAAGGTTGTTTGTTGTTTTGCTCATAACTGGAGTCCCTAAGGCTTAGGGGCTTTATACGATGATGGACAGATGATCAACAGTAGCATAATCAATCACGTCAATGAATTCGTTTAAAACAAAGGTGGCTGCCGCTGGAGAATTGAGATATGTAGATTCCGTCATCGCGTCTGTTATAGGAGATATCGACAGTGCATTCATTTTAAAAGAGGAACAGAGAACCGCGATCAAGGCATTTGGCGATCGGAAAGATGTTTTTGCCATCCTTCCCTATAGGGATTCAACATACGTCACTTACTCCGTTGCTCTGATTATTTGTAGGTCTATCCAATTGAGTGCAGAGGAATTTTCTTTCCTGGTTCGGTTGAAACACGCCCCATAATCATAGCCCAAATGGAGCAGTATCAGACTCATATTCTGACTAGAATCTGAGTATGATGACGTCAGGCTAAGTATTACGCTGCTTTCACTTTAATACACAGATCTAATATACACATGCGATTTCTTTACTTGCTGTTTACATTCAAAGACATAACCGACTGTGTTTATGTTAACTTTGTGTGTTTTTGACATAACCTTAAGTGTATTTGGCAGTTTAAGCGTAATAAGACGTGAAAGAGAACTTAGTTTAACACTAACGGGACATGCTGTCTGACAGCCAGCTTTCTGTGCGCGTGCTTCAGGTGTGTGCGCTCAACCAATAAATCAGAAGTATATCGAGAGATGATAATCAATGTTTTAGTTTTAGGCAGAGTATCCTAGGCAACAGCTTTAAACGCTCTGCCCTCTTCTGGAAAACGGGGTGGGGAGCCGCAACATATTTGCATTTAAAGATACATACACGAAAACAGCACTCCTTCCACTCACAGACACATTCTAGGGACAACTGAGACTTATATTACATCTTGTAAAAATGGGCATAATAGGTGCCCTTTAAAGATTATGAAGACGAATTTGTTTATTTGTAATAACATCCACAGTGAATCATTCACAATACAGCATGAAAGTGCATCAAAAAAGCAAATAGGGTCAATTTTTATTTGTTCACTTTATCTAAATGTAAAAGTTTCTTTTAACAGAAGTTACAGCTGTATTTGATGCTGTAAAGAATGGACAAAGGTATAGCCAAAGATTCAGTAAATTAGATCACAACTGTTATATTTTGCGCTTATGTTTGAAAAACACGTGAAGGAACAGATGCCACCAAACTGCTATTAGCAGCAGGCCGATGCGTTAATGAAGAGAGAGGAACTATAGGCACAGTCATGGTCTGATCGAGAATGGGACTGAAGCAGGTGGTGACTGCCTCTGTGCTGGGAAGAATAGTGAATGATGCAGTTTGGATGTTCCCCCAGAGATGACAGACGCCTGGGATAGAGAACGCTGCTTCTCTCTCACCTTCTCTGACTCCAGAAGCTTTCAAGGGCTTTGACTGAAGTGTACTTCTGACCAGATAGTTTGTGTTTTCTAGTAATCTGGAACTAATTTAATACCAGTCCATGTCAGTAAATGATCTGCAAGATTTGTATTACAGTTTAAAAGTGAACATTTGGTCCAATGTTGTTTTAGTACTGTATATAGCCTACTATAATACTATATGTACTATTATAGTATTTATTCATATTTTGAATTCGCTTTTATTTTTATATTTTCAGTTTTCAAAATTATAAATACTGAAAATATGTGACCAGTGCTGGCAAAATGAGTCGCAATGAGCACATTTTCTAAAATGAGTTATTGTTACTTTCAAAATAATGTATGATTTGTTGGAATCAGACAAAAAAGGGGGCCGTGAGAAAGCGACGCGAGGCTGGTGGCGTAATTACTAATGAGCAACACCTGCGTGACGCACCGGTCTCGTATCTCTCACGGAGGAGCGGAAGCATAAAGGAGGAGCGACGACAGTGAAGAACGAGAGAGTCCAGGCCTGGATTTTATGTTGTGTTTATATGTGGCAGCAGTCGTCCGTCGTCCCTTTCATTTTGTATTGGTTTATTTATTTATTAAAGTTTGTTTGAATGTTCGCCGGTTCCCACCCCCTTCTTCCCATAACATCGAACAGCGTTACATTGGTGCCGAAACACGGGAGGAAGGAGGGACACGCTGTCGGAGAGCCCTCGCTGCTGAGGGGGATCGTGGTAGTGATGAGGTCGGGCAGCACGAAAGAGCGATGACCGCCGATGGATACCCGAGGCGGTGGTGCTGGAGCGATTGAACAGCAGGTGGGA